GAAGGGTGGGGGGGGGGGCACGTATGGACAAACTTTCATTAAAGCTTCTAAGAACAAGCTATAAGGAATAGAATCTAGGACATTGATGCAATTCATCAAGACATTGATACTCTGAGCTGCTAGAAGAAACATATAGGTCAAAAGCTTTGCAGACTGTGTGCTTATTGTTTCACAAATTCAATATTTCAAAGATTTCTAATCTGATATAGATTCCATATTTCTGTGTACATGTCAAATATCCAAAAATAGTGATTTGTTATAACAAATTAGTAATTTGTTATAACAAATTATTAATCTGTTATAACAAATTTATAATTTGTTATAACAGATTACTAATTTGTTATAACAAATTAATAATTTGTTATAACAGATTACTAATTTGTTATAACAAATTACTAATTTGTTTTATCAAATTAGTAATTTGTTATATCAAATTACTAATTTGTTTTAACAAATTAATAATCTGTTATATCAAATTAATAATTTGTTATAACAAATTATTAATCTGTTATAACAAATTAGTAATCTGTTATAACAAATTATTAATTTGTTATAACAGATTAATAATTTGTTATAACAAATTAGTAATTTGTTTAAACAAATTAGTAATTTGTTTAAACAAATTAGTAATTTGTTATAACAAATTATCAATTTGTTATTACAAATTATCAATTTGTTATAACAAATAAGTAATTTGTTATAACAAATTATCAATTTGTTATAACAATTTAATAATTTGTTATAACAAATTAGTAATTTGTTTAAACAAATTAATAATTTGTTATAACAAATTTTAAAAAAATACTGCTGCGGCCTTAATACGCTTCCGTAATTTTGAAATTGGATCTCAATGATCCTTTTTGTGTGCAAGGAAGTATATTTTAAATTAGACTGATCGTTTGTGTGGATATGTATGTTGGGTTTCTACCATTAAGCCGATTTATTTTGAATATATGGAATAAGATGGTGTGTCACAAAGTTTGGAGGTTCAATGTCACAAAGTTTTTAAGATTCGTAAAATCCCAAATTTTGTAATGCTGGGTAAAAAATTAATGCTGAAATTTATTTTAAATTCTAAAAAATGTTGCCATGTTATTAAGGAAAAGATCTCTAGAGAGAATTTTAACTTGCGGCATCTTAAATTTTGATAATAATTGCCATGTCACATATTTGTATAACATGCAGCTATATGTCACAATTGAATTTTACGGCAAAAACGTCACATTTAAATGCTACACTCCATGAATTACTTTCATGTTAAGAATGAATTTTTCTTATATGCTGCAAAACAACATTTATTACTATATGTGCAAAATCAAAACTTTACTTAGATATGAAAATGAATTGATTCTATAAAGAAGTATTTGTTTTAGAGGGTTTTTACAAAGTCAACAATAAATGTCACACATTGCCCAAAAGTAATAAATCTAACTATAATTGTATAAATGTTGTGACATAAATCGTATGAGTAGTCATTAAAAATAGACATATTGAAAATTGGAGGATTTTTATGAAATGTGCATCTCTTCGAAAAGTTATTGGTATATTCCAAATTAATTTCAATGGAATGGTGACAAAATCCTACCAAAAAATAAAAGTCAACATGTTATGTCACAGACGTAAAAATATAGCGTTTTTGGCGTACGTTAACGTTCAATGCATAAAATGTAATCTAAAACGTCAAAAGATTTTTTTCTCTCCAAAATTTTGCTCTTATTGCTAATGAGCCTGATATGGATAAAAGAAAACTATACCAATAATGTTTAATTTTAAGAATAATTTTAAGTTTTGAAAGTTGTATTTATACATAAAAGCAAAACATGTACACAGTATACTAGTACACTGTATCAGTATATATGTATCCTTGTCAAAAATCTGTACAATAGTACCATTCAGAGTTCCAATTAAGACACCAGAGAAAAAATCAATCAAACCAAAATTTATGTAAGGGTGTGATTTTAAATTTGAATTACCTGACAGTAAAGTGTGTCAACTCTATTTGATGCTGGCGTAAACTGTTCTATACATGGTGAGTTTACATTGAATAGTCCAATATTGAATAAGGGTTAGGGGGTGTTGGAAGTTGTGATGTAGATAAAGTATCAGGTTTTCACTTCATAATTTGAAAATTAGTTCTTTTTATCATTAACCCGGTAGCATCGTATGAAATAAAACAAAGTTGTATTTTATCATGTTAAAAAAAAATAGGTGTTTACATTCGAAATTGACGACAATTTGAAACAGGTTATGGCGAGATCAAGTTTATTGTATTATTTCTTTTAATAAAAATATTTTTCATTAATATACTATAGTATTTGGTCATTAGCTAGTGACGTAACATCGCTTTTGAAAGTGGGGTTTGGGGGGGGGGGAGGGGTGCAGCCAGAGAAAAAAAATACTTACCGGAAAAACGTTGTCAAGCCAAAAAAGAAAATTTGTTTGCCCAATCTCGAAAATCCTATTTCCTTTGGGGAAGGGGGGGGGGGGTTTGAGGCGAACTTGACACAACGCAAACTTCTTTCAGTATCAAATTTTCTTTTCTTCATACAATTACTACATACCCTTATCTTACTTTACTTTTGTCAAAATTCGGGGGCTAACCAGCCTTTCAATGAACATTTCAATAGTAAAAGTTATGTTTAAAAAATTGGGGGGGGGGGGGGGGGCACGCCCCCTTGCTACGTGCCTGTAAACAATGTCCTTCCTTTTTCATAATTTATTTAGTAGTAATGTTTCATTTTTTCTTCACTTTTTTTAAATGCTTCTAAACTCATTTAAACCGACCAAAATGGTACTAAGTAACCATTCATCTCCATATCCTTCATTTAGGGAAAGGATAATGCCTCTATACAATCTTCTTAATCTGATTAAAATCTGACCCCGCCGTCACCAAAATTCCTCAACATCAACATCAATTAATTATTTAAATCTGAATCTTGATGAAAGCATACATAAAACGCTCTTTGAATCACTCTTTGCTTCCAATTATAAGTATGAAAAGGGCATACAATCACAAACGGCAGGTAAACTGCAAAGATATTCAAAGGAGTATGAAACCTACGATCGTTGATCTGTGTGCTAGGCACATACGTTTCAACGCATAAAAAAGGGGGGATGAAAAGGGGGAGAGGAGAAAACTGAAATATTTTTCGAATAAATACAACTGAAGCCTCTAAACTGCACTTCATCGAAAATTCTTTTTATGGACAAGTTAAAGTGAGGAAGGGGTCAATTCTCAGATTCGATTCCTCTCCTTTTTTTAAATTGAATTATTTGAAATATTTGGATCTACTTTTAGATACAGGTACTCAGTATGTAAGGGTCTGAGAGATGGTGGAGGTTAAAGATGGGATGGGAATAGGGACTTTAAACGAAAAAAAAATTCATTGTTAAATCAGCAACATATCTACAATCATACAATTTACTGAAAACAGAGGACAGGTTCTAACGCCTACTGATATGATATGGAATTGTTTTGAATTTATATCAATAAAATAAAAAGCATGTAAATTTAAAATGCGATGTCGAACAAGTTTTATTATTCCTACCAAGCTTTTTATTAAATGAAGCAAATTATGCCTATATTTCCTAGATTCCGCAAGATGCTTGCAAAAGGGCAGAGAATTTAATTACATGCATGTATTTTCAATGAACTGCATTATATAAATGGCGGGATTACTGGATTTATTTTTTACTTCATAAAAAATGTAAACAAAAAAGTAACGTCAAATTAATTTACTAGAACTTCACGTAAAATAACGTCATTTTGACGTTACCGCAAATGACACCAACACAGTGCGCAACGTCTTAACGAATTAATTAAAGCGCTTAAGAATGAGGCACCTACTTTTACTTGTATATTCCTATCAGTTGATTGCACATATGGTTAATTAAATAAGGTGAAAATAACCCAGCGCCTCACTTTTAAGGTGAATTTGTGTAAACAGCAGTTAAATGGCCAATATGAAAGTACTGCAATAATAATCGCGTTTATTTCAAATCGAGAAGGCCAACTGCCACTTACAACTGAAGGACAAAGAATGTGATGGTTATATACTAAGCTGAAAATAGAATACTTTGTCTGTCTTGTGCCTTTGCATAGGCGTCGGGGCGGGGGGGGGGGTTGCTTCAAACCCCCCCCCCACTTTTTTGCAAAGATAAGACATGATATAGGAATTGAAAATTGGGGGATTACCTTTTTTGTTGGTTTAGTCCCCCCTTTCAAATTGCTTCCGACGCCTATGCCTTGACGTTGTATATTTAGTGGAAAAAGAAACCTATTGATATAATTTAAAACCTATTGATATAATATATATGATGAAAGACGCAAATGATAGTGCCTCCTCTGGTGCCTTATCAAGGAAATTTGGGTAGTTGATAGTGCCACAACTAAAAATCTATGGCTGTGCCCCATAAAAAACTGAAATTGTTTCCTATGGGCGTGAATCAATGAAACTAAATTATTCGTATCGCAACACTTCAAAAACCTTTAGGGTATTTAAAAAGAATCCCTTTGGGGGTTAATTTTGAGTCAGAATAGAATTTTGCATCAAAATTCGAAAACGTTTATACCCCGAAAAGTTAAGAGGGGTAATTGAGAGAATGGGGCACTTTTATAAGCCTTTTTGCCATGCAAGTCTTTCCTGAATGTAGCGCTCTACCCGGTGAAAATGGTAGATACATGTAACAAGAAAACAGAAATCCTATGTGCATGAAAGCGGATACCTGGCTTTTTGATAAGAAAATTCTTTTAGATATTCATTTCACTTGCCCTGCTTTTAAGAGTTCTTGGAACTTGGGTTGTATTTGAAAGGTTAGTTTTATAAATAAGATGTTATACATAATATAATGTAAAACAAATTGTATGCGATATACACATACAAATGTATATGAAATTATGAATTTATGTACTAGTAAATAGTTTATTCTCTCTCTCCCCCCTTCTATTTGTGCATGTACATTAGAGACCCGTTTAAACCCAAGTAAGTTGATGTACACATTTGTACACGCTCTATGCTCTTTCTCTCGCAGCGGAAGTAATTCAAATGACGTTCCCCATTTCCCCCTCATCCTGAACCCTATAAAACAGCTGGACGTCTGTGTCTCATTCTGTATTTCCTCATTTGTGACGACAGAACGACTTCTAAATTAGGTATTATTTGTACCCGGATATTAGTCCTAAGCCGACAGGAAACTTTATACTTGTCGTTTGTAGTCACTGCGATACTTGGATTGACTCGTCTGTGTGAATATATACAATGGTAGGCTACTTCTCCATATTATGATAAATTTCTTGTTAATTTCATCTGTACTTTGCATGTTGATACCGTGACTTTAAATTTAAGTTTGTGATATTTGCTTGTATAATGTTTGTTAAGGTTTGAACCATTTTGAAACCGTTTTGTTTTCAAAAACGGGGAAAATTTTCGGGGAAACGCCCGCAAACCATTTTTAGACTTACATAGACGGAAGTTGAGCCTAGATGTTGAATACAAGGAAAACAAAAAACGATGATCCTGCGATTTTTGAGTTTATATAGCTTAGTGAATTTTTTTTTTCTGCTGACAAAACATTAGAAAAGGGCAAAGATGACTGCGGAAGTAAGAGAACTTCCTTTATCGTCATCTAAATACTAAGCGTAAAAAGGCGGCAGTTATACATTTGAATAAAAGGGGAAGAAAAATATACTACTCTTTTTTCATATAAAAAAATCTACATATATGGGCATTGCGTTTTTTAAAAGCTTATGCGGAATGAATGAAGTTTTTTAAATGGGCCACACACTTGTAAGGTGTTTACCCAGAAATTTGAACCACTGATATTTTAATACATATTATTATGCTTCCTGTCAGTTTGTCTCTATATAACCCATACCCTACTATTCTCGCATAGTGGTCTAAGGATTTATAGAGCGTAAGCATACTATGCCGAAATAGTGCACGGCTTTATTTACTGAATAAAATTCTTCAATGCACACGCCGGGGATCGAACTGACGACCATGAGATTGTCAGTTCGATGCATTATCGATTACGCCACAGAGACGATCACTGATTGGTAGAATTTTATTAAATATATAAACTTAATTTATACAATTGACACAAGAAGGAGAAAATAGACAAATATTATTTGAAAACAGTTATTTTATTCTAAGGAACTTTAGATTAATGTGTACAACAAACTTTCAAACTAATTGCATACAGATCGTTTGATGAACTGATTTCATAGGGTCATTAAAACGCTTTTTTATATGCCGCTTGATTGAAGGATGTAAAAGAAAATTATCAATGAGAATCGACGTCTGCAAACAAATAAGGCTTACATGTACTAACAAAACAGAAAATAAAGATGAGTGCTTTGGGACAGAAAATCCCGACTTATTTAGAGAAAATACTAGTAACCAAAATAAATAAGCATGCAAACAATTTTAGCATGAAGATTTTGAATGAGTTCTTGCAAGTGCGCTGCATGTGTAAGCACCGATATTTTCAGGAAAAAGTCAAACAGATTGCCGCATAAATAATAACAACAGTCAGCATAATAATAACAATAGTGTTGCATTATGCATGTACTATGCCTAAATAGTAGGCAGGGTTTGACACATAGTGCACTCGCCTCCGGCTCGTGCACCATGTGTCAAACCCTGCCTACTATTTAGGCATAGTACATGCATAATGCAACACTATTATATAATAATATCTATTAAATTTGAACATACTTATAAAAATAGCACCTATTACCGTTTCGCTCACATAGAAAATCTGAAGTTGACAAAAAATAATCAAATAAAATATTGGCCCTATAGAAAAATAACTTAACTGAAACTCCAATAGATCTAATATGAAATTGAATAACTTTTTAAAGCTTTTCTTTTGCCAATCTACTAAACGAACGAATTCAATGAAAAGTAGATTAAAATTGAGGTATGAATAATCACCATATATATTGTACCGTAAAGTGTACGTAAATATATGCCCCAGGCCTAAGGCAATCTCTCAACTTTCTATTATAATGGACCCCCCCCCCCCCCACACACACACACACACAACGGAAATAGTATTTTCGAGTTTGCACAATATTCTGTTGTTTTTGTTTGTTTTCTTTTTGTGTTTTTTTTTCAAATAAGGTTGCCAATCAGTTTCCAATCTAGTGTTCAGTTCAAAGCAAAACGGGAGCACCAAAAATATTCATTACATGTTTTGTAGAGATAATATAAATCGTATACTATTTTTATAGAATTTTTGAGAAAAGATAACATCGATAAGTCAGTTATCTCTCCTTCCTTGTTCAGTATAGTATGATAGCTTATACAAACAAACATGAAACCGCGTGTCATGTTTTATAACTATAGCTGATATTCTTATTTTTTTTTTCCTAAAAATTTTTCAAAAATATTCCCCGAGTTTAACGATTTGTATCATAAATCCTTGACGTCACACTTTTTTTTAGAATATACATTAAAAGTGGATTTATAGTACATGTTACTTAAGCAAATCTACGGGTAACAAAAATTAACCAGTTTTGACACCAGGGAAGTTTGTAAAGGAGCAAACGAGCCAGTTTACACGTGAATGGAAATCACTGTATTTGTCTGTATGTAAACATATTTCATAAGTTTAGATATTTTTAATGGAAATAAAATGAAATGTATTTCACAAAAAGTTGTGACTGCAGTTACGGTCGAATGAAAAGGACAGATTGAATATCATATACCAGGGGTAAACATGTAAATGTACTTCTTCGGAAAAAAGAAACATAAATAGGACATTTAAAGCTGTTAATAGTTAGGAGATCTAGAATGAAATATTAACTACTTAGAAATATTATTTCCAAGAAGTTCATTCAAATTGTTCACAAACTTAATTTTATTCAAAAGTCAATATTTCAGCCGCTGTTATTATGAAACCTTATATAACATCATTTTCGGATACCAGCAGGTGATCTCGTTTTTTTTACCGTGGATATCCGAGGACACATGTAACAAATTTGATTAAAAAAACCCAGTAGATTTTGTATACTTTAAAAAAAAATAGCCACGACGCTCTTCTGAGTAACATATAACTTTGTCCTGCTTTTCTTCATCACATTTTCCCCAATATTCTTGCATCCCTAGGGAAATATTTGATCACCCTTTGTGGCCTACCCTATTAAAACTAAGCGTCTTGATTTGAACAAATAACGAATCTTCACTACCAAAGGTTTGTTTCCACATAAATATATTCATCATGATATTGATGACTTTAGGAAGAGAAGTTTTGGAGAATTTCTATTTTTTCGTATTGTAGCCTCACCCTTCTCCAAAGTAAGGACAAATATCTGTACAAATTACAATCTACACCACCTCAGCGAGTTTGTGGCAATCTTCCAATATATTTTGATCCCCTATTGCTGTCTAAGGACGAATGAGTGAGTGAGTGAGTTGCTGCCCCCAACCTACACCCAGGGAACTTCTTTACATTTGAGAATCTACTCTATACCAACCATATTTTCAAGGGACTTGGTTTAAATAATAAAGAAACGACACTATGTACCATGTAGTTCTGATGAACTGAACGCATATAAAAATAGAATTCCTGTTAGAAAGAAATTCTCGGAAATTCTTTCAAATGGGTCACACACTTGCAAATGATTTGTTTATTAAAAATCTAAATTCTTGATGGTATTTTGAAATCTAATGTTACATAAAAATACATGTTTTAAACAACTCATAAAGTGGGGGGGGGGGTATAATAGTTTATAAATATATTTTACGGTTGTCGCATTTTTAACAATAAAGACCAAGGCAAAAAAAGTTTGAAAATATGCAGTGGTTTACAGCCCTAGCAAATGTCCCGATAATTACTCCTATGAAGATTCAAGACATGCATGCTATAAGTGTATTTTAGATTGAATACAAAATAATTAAATGAATGAAATTTTTAGAAATCGACAATAAACCTGAGAGTTATCTATCAGATGGTAATTTGAAGATTATTAATAAGTAAGAAGCAAACCGTTGGAATTACATTTTAACATGTATACGTGACATATTTATACAAATATTCCTCTTTCAGTGTTCAGTTCAAAGAGGGATATCTTTTACAGACATCCCTATTTGAGGATTTTCGATGTTTTACACTAATTATTCCTCTGAATATTATAATTTGCCAAAATACTGTTTTAAAAAGTTAAGTAATGTTTGAAATTGTTTGTGTTGACAGTGCAACACATTAGTTTGTGTAGATTTTTATGTGGAGCATCTACAGATACTAGTATGTCCAATAGTTAATTTTCAGAATATTTTATTTTTATGAAATGATGTATCTTAAGTTAATGCCAAACAGTTATCAGTTCCCAGATAAAACATTGTTTTTCTTCTTTACATATAAAACAAATCTACTTGTACTGTTTTTCTTCTTTACATATAAAACAAATCTGCTTGTACTGTTTTTATTCTTTACATATAAAACAAATCTGCTTGTACTGTTTTTCTTCTTTACATATAAAACAAATCTGCTTGTACATCCTTGCAGTAAAAAAAGAAAATGGCTATACCAAAAACACCGAAAACAATAATACAGTAAATTCGGTTTTAACTAAGTCACTGGGACCTATGAAAATACTCCCTTATTTTTATCCGTAATTCGTTATATAATATCCGTATAAAGAATTCGTTAAAGATATTTAGCTGGAGACTCAAGAAAACTTCGCTATATCCGTGAATTCGCAATATCCGTCTTCGCACTAAACGAGTTTTACTGTACTTTTCAGGCTTCCGGAGTGGCACTTTCAGACGAATGTCTTGAGACTTACCAAGATCTTCAGGGATCGAAGAAGAAATACCGGTACATTATCTACAAACTGAACAAAGATTTCAGTGAAATCGTGGTGGACAGTACCAAACCAAGAGATGAAGCTAGCGGTGAGAATTTAACGTCCGTTTTACATGTTAAACAAAAAAATGTCTTATTGTGGAGAGAAATAAAAGGCACTGGCGGATTTAGAGCTCCCCCCTTTTGTGTCAAAAAATACACAAAATTTGATGTCAGTGTTTTTTTTTTTTTTGGTGTGGCTATGGACCCCTCTCATGACCCCAAACTAGCCCCCCTTTTTTCAAGATTTCTGGATCCGCCACTGAAAGGTGAAGATAACGAACAATGATCGATCTAAAATAATATATAAACCATACAAATCTATGAAGAGGTAATAAAACACGGTCTACTGGTCGTCCTGGAAATTCCAGAAGTGGGATCAGGTGCCGAGGACGAGTAAGCATCCCTCGTTGACCAGTTGACCGCCGCCGTGAGCCCATGTATTAAGAACCTTCCCATCACCTTTTAACCCTTTCTTCTCTGTGACTCCCTGAGGTTTCAAGTTGTATAATAAAAATCCTCCGAGAGGATTTTGTCACAATATGTCTGAGAAATTAAAGAGGGATTTTTCTATACTGTAAATATTTACAAATTTGTCTCAACTACTCAGATATCTGGGGTTTTATTTATTTATTAATTATATATCAAAAACATTCATTATCTTCCAATTTCTAAATTTTCAACAAAATGTATTGAAAGATAAGTACAGAAAAAATTGTAATGTTGGCAAAACACTTCCAAAAGAATTATATTGAGGGAACAAACCCTCTGCTATTTATCGTACAAAATGCCCGGAAAGGTACCTCTATTTCTTGTATGAAAAACTTGTTAAAATAACCATAAATTTTCGGGGGATATGTAAATCAGTGAGAAATGTATAATCATTATTCTCGTGTAATTGCATGTGTGAGGTCATATAAATAATAGGAGCTAAAGATTTATTGAATCATCTCAATTCTAAACGTAACAGTTTCAACTGAGCATTGTACCATTTAAGAATAGTGAAATATAGCATTTCTAGCAATACATATTTATTTTGTAGCGGAAGAGGCGTATGACGAATTTTGTGGTAAACTCATTCAAGCTGCCGCTAACGGTGAAGGTCGGTATGGCGTGTTCGATGTTCACTACAATGTTGACACCCGCGAGTTGGACAAAGTAGTTTTCTTCACATGGTGAGTTAATATTAACATCTTATATGATATAAATTTTGCAATTTTGCACCCCCAACCCCCCAAAAAGGGGATGGTAGTCTAAACACAGTAGAATAAATATGGAGTCCATGTCAAAAGCTAATAGCAATAAAAAAAGTATGAAGATTGCAAAATGAAAGTTTTTCTTTATTTGACACAAATACATTGGATTAATTCGGGAATCCAAGATTATTTCTAGGTGCGTTTCGCTTACACGTACGACCTAGATAGAGAGAACTTAATTTTCTGATCGAGGCTACTGGCATTCCTTTTCACTTGTTCCACGCATGCGCATAAGTAGATCTAACTACGCCGGTGATTTTTATTGCAAAATCTTAGTAGATTAGTTTTGAATTTAATTTTATTGTGCAATAATTTTCCAGGGTATCTGATACTCTTCCCATTAAACAGAAGATGCTGTATGCCAGCAGTGCCAAGGCGCTTAGAGGAAAGATGACTGGTGTCCACACAGAAATCCAGTGTAATGACGAGTCCGACCTGAAATTAGAAGGCGTCATCGCCAAATGTCGTCAGAAGAGTTACGAATGATCAATAGAGAACAGTAGTGACCTATTAATTAAACACAGTTTATTAAAAAAAAATATTATTTGCTACTGAAATAAAACTTTATTGCAAATGCATACATACATATATTTCTTTGTTAAAATATAACAAAAATGTTGGGAACAAAGTCGTTTTTCAGTCTTGACCCAAATGTCTTTGTTCAAGATGCGTGTATATTCACCAATTGATGCAATAAAGTTTGAACGAATCGACTTTCAGTGAAAATGAACTATGTTTTGAATCTATGCATTTTCATACCTTTATAATAGAATTAAGATATCATAAAGGAGAAGAAAGAGAACATTCCCACCACATAACAAGAGCAAAAAGATGTTTGAAAGCGCATCGAATCTTATAAAAAAGAAATACCGTTCCTATTTTGCATCAGAGTAATGGGTCTAATTGAAAAATATAATTAGCAGCTGCAGTCGATGGAATTTCATATTGTTTGTCCTTTCAGGCTTATAAGCCTCATATATAAATCTGCCAGTTTCACTCCCTTTGCATTGTTCAGATTTGCATTGCTTCTCCAATGTCGTAATGATTTATTACTAGTAATTGTTATGTGTTATAACATGTTTTTGAAAATTCACCAAGATTAATGTTTAAGAGTCAAAATCAGCAAGCATCGAGCATTGAATGGAAAGTCAAAATTTTATTTTTTCAAAAGCTTTTGGTATATAAAAGACTTTGTCCTACCTAATGCTAAAACACAATTTTTTTTAACGTATGAAGGGACTGGTATCCAAGGAAATTCATTTCCTTAGCAACGGGTTCATAAATCCTTGTGAAAATCAATGATTTTTAGACATTTTTCTATGAATATGCTTTCTGAACTTGATAAGATAAGGTATTTTGGTTACTTTATTTGTTGAAAGATGGAATTACTTTATTCTCCAAAAATAGGAAATACAAAATTTCTGTAGTGATATTGTTGCCATGACAACGGTAAAAGAACATGGCGTCAATGCTTGTTAATTTTGAAAAAATTACATATGTTTATCACTATATACACAAAATCTACAACCACTGCTGGAAAAATGAATTGTGTGATCTTGTTAGGGGTTAACTATATGTCATATCTATACAATAAAATTTGCAGGCAACTTTAGCAGAAAAAAGCTACAAATGGTTAAAATGTGTGACAATCTGGCTTTTTTGAAGGGGTGGGGGTAAATTGAATACATGTACAGTGTCCATTATATTGGTCATATTGGTTCTGATCAAAGCATACTCATAATTTTTACTATTGTTGATAAATATATGCACATTCAATTTCAAAAGGAATTTTAAATTCCTCACAAACGAAACTTGGAAAAAGGGGGGGGGGGGGGGGGGGGGGGGTAGGAATCACCTTGTTCACCCATCCATATGTATGTAAAATTTTAACTTGTCCATAACATTTCAATGAAGTGCCAATGAAAGTTCATACTTGATATTAAGATTGCCTATGATCTAGAGATGTGTCAAAAAGTTGACCCAAGGTCATTTGAACAAGTTCAAAGGTCATTGGTAGAGGAAAAGTGCAATCTTTGCCCATTCTGTAACATTCTAATGAAAAGACTTGAAGTTTCATCTCGGGGATTATTTTTTAGCTGTAGGTTTGTCATGACCATGACCAAAGTTCATTTGGACATGTTTGACCTTGACTCAAGGACATAGCTTTTTCAAGGTCACTGCAGTAAAAGTGTACTATATGAGTTTGGCACATTTACATATTTAACTTCGAATGAAGAGAAATTGGAAGTTTGTGCTCAACACAACGGTTTTATTACCTATGACTTGAGTATATGTCATAGTCATTTCGGTATGTATATCTGCACTAGCAAAATTTTGAAAAGGTTTTAAATTAATATTTGGACCTTTTTTGTAATAAAAAAACATTTAATGCAATAGCAGGAGGGTGGGTATCATTTTATGAGCTTGCTCACAATAATTCTAGTTTACGAAAGAGAGTCACTATGACAGCTCAAATAATTTTAAAGTAAAACCATATCAATGAGGCTACATGACATTGGGTTGGGTGACTTTTTTCTCAACATAACCTGATGTTTAACCCCACCCCCCCCCCCGAGTTTGGAGAATTTCCCCACTTTTTTTCTTGCAGTTTTTTATGCCTGCCCCACACCATGCACTTTCAAAAACGATACCATGTCTCTCAAGAGCTAAGACCTCAGTAGCTACTGGTGCCTAAAATGAAAATATGGAAGGGCTATATATATATATATGAATGTCTAAACTTGAACTGACCCTAAAAGATATTTCATAATAACCCTAATGGGCAATCTTTTGAATGGCATATATCGAAATTTTTGTTGTACTTATATTTAAAAACATTTTGAAAACAATGTAGAAATCAGAAGAGAATGACAAATATGAATACTTTTTATATATAATATCTAGAGATACAAAACATAAATTTGAGGAACGTGTCGTCTGACTTTAAACTAGCCCTCTTTTTTTCTCACAAAAACATTTTGTCAGTTTTGAAATTAATTGCTTGATCATTTAATATTGACCTTGTTTTAATTATGATACTTCAAAATGCAGAATATAAAGATATGTTTAAGAGTCTTCTACTATCTAATTATGAATCTGCATGCTGAAAATTGATAGTTATTAGATTTACATCAATAAAAAAATGTTAACAGACAAACAAAGAATGTTACTTTTGGATTGAATACACTGTACAATTTATGGATCTATTTTCTGGATCCCCGAGTCTCCGGTAACACTATCCACATCAATGGTCTGTACTGTTAATAATGTATTCTCATAATCTGAAAAAGTGTTAAAATTAAAATGTAATAATATTATACAGCTTTGCCTTCATATACTTCGAACCATTTCTAGTTGAGCTAATGATGAATGCAAAGCATGTTTATTGGAATCAATTAAATTCCAAGAAATCTCAATGGTTTATTATTTCATTTTAAAAAGTTAACGTTTTTACTAAATGTATTATTTACATGTTTTTCCTGTCTAATTCTATATCAGCTCATCGAATTCTGTTTCTGCTGCTTCAAAGTGCCGACTTTCATTCTAAAAACAGAAGTATACAACACAAAGTTGAGACCGTATTGATTTTAGATATTCTTTAAATTTAAAAACTTGCAATAAAAAGGTCAACTGGTTCTAGGTTTTGTCAAAACTCTAAATTATGTTTTTAATTTCTTTCCAATAACCCCCCCCCAAGAAAAAAATTGAGTATAGATATTCATTTTCATAAATTTACCTGCTTTAAATCTAATGATGCTTATTATTTGAACCTAGTTGACTTAAATTAATTCAGTGGTACCGGAAAAAATGTTAGCTGGATATGAATTTTCTTTTATAAGTAAACACTGGATGACATCAGCAAAAAGTTTTTTTTAATTAATTATTTTACTGTGGTATATATACAATTCAGTTACCACTAGTCCGCTACATAATACACTTGTACAGCTTACGTCATTTCTATAGATCTGTTACAATCAAAACATTCAGTGATAGACAATGAAATGGGCGGGTACAATTCGACGCGGACGTGGGGAAAACATTGGATTGAAATTGCCGATCGAAATTCATTTTCAATCCACCTGAGCTGTTTTCAAAGCAAAGAGTGAATGTATGATCCAACCAGAAGTCTCTGTCGAGACTGTAGCTCTACTGGTATGTACTTATAACAAAGGATGAGAAAAGAAGCCATTGCCATCAGACCAAAATTGTAGAAGGAGTAGCTTTATAAAGGAATTTCACAGACATTTCTATTTTTAGTAACAATGGCAACACTGTTCATCAAAATCAAAAACTGATGCAATATTTTATATATCTTAGTGTAGTCTACTTGTGTGCCAAGTTATATTGAAATCAGACCAAAATTGTAGGAGGAGTAGCGTTTCAAAGAAATTTCACAGGAAATTCTATTTTTAGTAACCATGGCAACACCGTTCATCGAAATCAAAATCCGATGCGCTATTCTATGTATCTTAATGTAGACTACTTGTGTGCCAAGTTATATTGAAATCAGACCAAAACTGTAGGAGGAGTAGCGTTTTAAAGGAATTTCACAGAAAATTCTATTTTTAGTAACCATGGCAACACCGTTCATTGAAATCAAAATCCGATGCACTATTTAATGTATCTTTGTGTAGTCTACTTGTGTGCCAAGTTATAATGAAATCAGATCAAAATTGTAGGAGGAGTAGCGTTTTAAATGAATTTCACAGAAAATTCTATTTTTAGTAACCATGTCAACACCGTTCATCGAAATCAAAAACCGATGCACTATTTTATGTATCTTTGTGTAGTCTACTTGTACGCCAAGTTATATTGAAATCAGATCATAACTGTAGGAGGAGTAGCATTTTAAAGGAATTTCCACAGAAAATTCTATTTTTAGTAACCATGGCAACACCGTTCATTGAAATCAAAATCCGATGCACTATTTAATGTATCTTTGTGTAGTCTACTTGTGTGCCAAGTTATATTGAAATCAGATCAAAACTGTAGGAGGAGTAGCATTTTAAAAGGAATTATACAGAAAATTCTATTTTTAGTAACCATGGCAACACTGTTCATCTAAATCAAAATCCGATGCACTAGTTTATGTATCTTAGTAAAGTCTACTTGTGTGTCTAGTTATATTGAAATCAGTCCATAATTGTAGGAGTGGTAGCGTTTTAAATGAATTTCTCATAAAATTCTATTTTTAGTAACCATGTCAACACCGTTCATCGAAATCAAAAACTGATACACTAACACTATTTTATGTGTCTTAGCGTAGTCTACTTGTATGCCAAGTTACACTGAAATCAGACTAAAACTTTAGGAGGAGTAGCGTTTTAAAGGAATTTCAGAGAAAATTCTACTTTTAGTTACCATGGCAACACTGTTCATCGAAATATAAAACCGATGAACTATTTTATGTATGTTAGTGTAGTCTACTTGTGTGCCAAGTTATATTAAAATCAGACCAAAACTGTAGGAGAAGTAGCGTTTTGAAAAATTGTTTACAGACAGACAGACAGACAGAAGGACGGACGACGGATACCTTACTATCGCATAAGCTCTTCTGGTCTCTGACCAGTAGAGCTAAAAATCAACTTATTTCAACTCCCAAATACATATTGTTTGAAGTTCACATTAATATGAGTTTTAGCTTATAATTTTAAGAACGCGAAAGATCATAAAAGACAACGATTATTTTTCAGGAGATATTTGATTCTAGAAGGGGGTGGGGTAAAAATT